GCATTTTTTTTTTAATCAGAAAAAAAGTGCCCAATGCGGGAATCGAACCCGGGTCGTAGCGGTCGAAAACCAAGAGTTTAGACCATCCTCCCACCGATCCTCTTCTCTCTCATTCAAATTATATAATATATTAATGTGTACACAGTTTACACTAGATTGTCATTAGTATAGGCGTTAAAAATTCAACAAAGTTTTATCATCTCTATTTAAGAGAGAAGATAAGGAGAAAATGCTTTTCTTTCTTTACCTTAACTTATATTTAATTATTGGAAATTTTTATAATGATTCTGCCTTTGTTTTTTTCTATATAAACCTATCTCTTAATTATTTATCAATAATAACTAATTATAATTAGTTATTGATAATTATTAATAATAATTTTATTAATACAAAGCAATAACGCGCCATCTATATATAACAAATGTAAACATTAAAGACGCGAATGTTTATTTTCTCAAATTAATCAAACTTTTACCAATATTTTTTCCATTGCAGTAAGGACAGTAGAAGTTGGATTTATTTATGAAAAGGAACATTCGCGTCTTAATGTCTTCATTTTATAGATGGCGCGTTATTACCTTTAATTAATTTAGGCCTAACTTGTCCTTATTGTTTCCGGTAGAGCATTGCTTGATGCAAATATTTTAATTAAGAAAAAGGCATCTACTTATCGTGCAACTGAAAGTTGCTGATGGCTTGCGCCATCTATCGGAATATTCTTATTCTTTTCTTAATTTATGCACCTTATCCCAGTACAATATTACATTTGTACTATTTTTTCAAATATTTTAATGTAATTCTACTGTCTTAAAAGCTCATGTCCATAGTTTGTTCAAATACCATTTCTAAGATTCCATCCTTAAGTGTAGCATATATAAGCAGAATGATCCAATACAGTATTAGAACTCTGAGAAGCAGTCTGATAGATTAAATTGACGAAACCACTGGGAGGGTTCATCACTGATGAGCCAAGCCCTCTAAATATCTTTTTTTTTATGGCAGTAAGGACAGTAGAGGTTTGATTTATTTGTGAAAATGAACATTAGCGTCTTAATGATTTCATTAGTTAAATAATTGTATTATTGTGATATTCAGAAATGCGAAAGAATTGTAAATTTCAACAAAACATTTTATTCTCAAAAAGTATTACAGCCTTTTTGGAAATATTGAGATAGTAATCAATTTATCTTGAGACGAATCTTGGCTTCTTTATCTTCTGTATTTACTTGTATTTCACATTTTCTGATATCTTTTCTCTTTTTATAAATATTGCTGTGGGTTAGATAAGAGAATCGATTTGGATTTGATCGTTAATCGATGATCCAAACATTTCTAAACAAAGATCTATTATATGTGTATCTTTGTATTAAATCTTATCAGTGATAAATACTATTTCTTATTTTAGCAAAAGTAAATATATGCAAATATAGTTAAGATAATTATAGAGACAACCTTTCTTATTCTGAATAAAATTTTGTTTAAAAATTTCTTCCGTTTCTAATTTTAATTCTAAACCTTTTGGTTAATATCTTAAAGTGTATTGTATTTAACTCTAATATATCATTATTCATTTTTTTTGGGGGGCTCAGTGGAAGGATGGTCTAAACCATTGGTTTTCGACCGCTACGACCCGGGTTCGATTCCCGCATAGGGCACTTTTTTTTTTCTAATAAAATAAATGCTCCAATGGCCCCCGATTTTTGCAAAAGTTCAACCCCACCAGTGAGTGCAAGTAAACAAACGAGGCTCTGGCACATTTGTAAGTGCAAAGTCGAACTGCTTTTCACATGTGTAGACGTGTGGTGCACTTACAGTAAAAAGCATTCACTTAACTACCCACCATGATTATCATGGCCTGTACCACGTGTACTAGGGATAAGGAAAGAAAACTTATTTTATACATTTTTGTACTCTCAAAAATGGACTGGGTTTAATTTCCTGATAAGTATTTTTAGACTTTTATTTATTTGACATATAGGACTCGATATCCCAGCTTAGGATACTTGAGCCTAAATACATTTTAGCAGCTTATATACAATTCATTTTATATACAATTCAATAAACAAGACTATAAACAAAATTAAAATCGAAAGGTTTGTTTTCTGAAACAGAAAATAAAATCTAAAATAAATTTACAAAAATTATTGAATTTTACATAGATGTCTTTGTTATATACAAATTCGCAAATTTCTTCGATGGAATAAAAATAATTACTTCTGTAGCTGTGAAAGATTGGACATTCTATCAATAAATGTATTGAGTTTTGGTTTTCCTTTCCACAGAAGCAGCTAGGATCATCCATTTTCCCGATTTTCCCCAGAAATTCTCCAAAATTACCATGATTTGTGATGAATTGTGAGTTATAAAAAAATACTTTTTATAAATTTAATTGCCATTTATCGATAAAATCTGCAACAATTAATTTTGAATATTTTAAGGATTGAGTTTATTTTTATATATATATCTCTATAGACTTCAAATTTAAAATAATTTTAAATAGAATTTCATAGCATTCTTTCAAAATGTTTTAAAATAAATTATAAACATCGGACTTATATCTTTCGCCATATAAGCTAACTAAAGATTGATTGATTAATCAAAACAATCTCGAAATGCCCCAAATGCGATTGCCAACCAGCCAGTCCTGAACATCTATTAAATTGTATCAAAACTTTCAAATAAGACATCTGGGAAAACCCCAAGACTATAATAGAAAGGCTGAGACAATGGAACCTAATGGAGATCGTTTAAACGACTTGAGGAAGAAGCAACAACAACAACAACAATTATTAAGTTTTTATTTTGATATTTATGTTTATAATGTTGGATTGAAGTTTCAATTTCCTAGAGACATCTATAATTTACACTCATGGACAAAACTTAAGAAGTTGGAAAGAGTTTGATAGTAATATATTTTTTTAAAAGGAGCCAGACACAATTTTGTTCACACTTGGTTATCTCGTGTGCTTTCAATGAAGGTCACTGTAATATCTTTTAGAGTTATTGTCTGAATCCCGATAAATATGCTGAAAGACCCAGACACAATTTTGTTCACACTTGGTTATCTAGTGTCTCTTCAATAAAGGTCACTGTAATATGTTTCAGAGTTATTGTCTGAATCCCGATATACATGCTGAAAGGTACAACTTCCTTAAGTGTTGTTCATGAGTGTATATTTCAGAGTTATTGTCTGAAACCTGATATACATACTAAAAGGTACAACTTCCTTAAGTTTTGTCCATGAGTGTATCTTTCAGAGTTATTGTCTGAATCCCGATATACATACTAAAAGGTACAACTTCCTTAAGTTTTGTCCATGAGTGTATCTTTCAGAGTTATTGTCTGAATCCCGATATACATACTAAAAGGTACAACTTCCTTAAGTTTTGTCCATGAGTGTATCTTTCAGAGTAATTGTCTGAATCCCGATATACATGCTGAAAGGTACAACTTCCTTAAGTTTTGTCCATGAGTGTATCTTTCAGAGTTATTGTATGAATCCCGATATACATGCTGAAAGGTACAACTTCCTTAAATTTTGTCCATGAGTGTATATTTCAGAGTTATTGTCTGAATCCCGAGATACATGCTGGAAGGTACAACCTCCTTAAGTTTTATATATAAGTGTATCTTTCAGAGTTATTGTATGAATCCCGATATACATGCTGAAAGGTACAACTTCCTTAAGTTTTGTCCATGAGTGTATCTTTCAGAGTTATTGTATGAATCCCGATATACATGCTAAAAGGTACAACTTCCTTAAGTTTTGTCCATGAGTGTATCTTTCAGAGTTATTGTCTGAATCCCGATATACATGCTAAAAGGTAAAATTTCCCTAAGTTTTGTCCATGAGTATAAATACAAAAAGCATTTTAAAATACCATAAGATATAATTTAATTAATTCAATTAGCTATTCTCTTTTTTTACTCTCGACGTAGATATTATAATTTCACATTTTAAATTTGTTTACATAAAGTCCAAATAAGTTTTTGTCTATTAAAATAAACTAAAATACAAAAGTTCGTGTTTTTCTTAAAACGTTGTTTTTATTATTACTTGTAGAATAATATTATTACAGCGAATATATAATATAATTACTTTATAAATAATACAAAGAATAAAGATACTTCGGCCAGTAAATCTTTTTATTACCTCGATGTTTAGACAAAAATCTTTTGTCCTCGTCAGGAGCAAACAAAAATTAAACATTTTGCAAGGCGTTAAAAATTGTTCTAAGGTACCAAGGGCGTTCTCACTCGGTAGGTTTAAATTTTGTTTGCTCCTGACGAGGAAAAAAGTTTTTTTTTGTCGAAACGTCGAGATAATAAAAAAGATTTACTGGTCGAAGTATCTTTATTTTCAAGAAATATTAATGCCAGCCAGACAGCCTCTATCTTTACGATAATAAAAATAAATTATACATAACGGCGAATAATATTGGTATTTAAATTTTTTTGAAAGTGTTTACCAATTTAAAAAATTTGCAAAGTTCGAAAAATATGTATTTTCTACCATTAAGAATAATTTACGCCTGCTAAAAAGAGCTTATCATTAACCCTAATGCAATTTATTAACGCTAACATAATTTTGTGGTTTTTTCTCTACAACTTTATTAAATATTCACAAGTCTAATCTCATTATAAACTGAATAAATACCGGCCGTACAAAAAGTCCTTTAATCTTTATTTATTCAAGAGAATAAGAAGAGAACCTCGGGTAGAAAATTTCATATTTAAAAAAATATATATTAAATTTAATAAAATTTTATCATCGCTTATGTGGAATATTTGTTTTTAATTTTATGATATAGAATGGTTCGATGCATTTTCTTTGTTTTATCAGGTTGAGCTGACAGAGGTATTGGTGAGATAACACATTCTGCCATAGATAGATAATTTTATTCACGATCAAACGTTGTGACCACTGTACGTATTACATCCCAAACACGATCCCAATAATTTCTAATCATGGAAATTTCTGAAACTTAAAAAAAAAAAAGTATCTCGAGCCGGATTTGAACCAGCGACCTAAGGACCACCGTTAATACTTCTACAGCTCTGCCAACTGAGCTATCGAAGCAAAGCGGAGGACTGTAGATGTATTAACGATGGTCCTTAGGTCGTTGGTTCAAATCTGGCTCGAGAAACTTAGCATTTTCAAAAAGAATTAAAGCGGTGGAAGACTCGAGTTGTTTTTGTGGACATGTGGAACAAACCTCAATACATCTTTTACTATATTGTCCTGTTTTTCAAGGCTACAGAATCGAAAACAATTTAATAGCAACAGATTCAGGTATTTTTATTTCCAGTAAAGAAATGTATATTAAATTCAATACGTTGTGTAGATATATTTTAAATTATATAGAAAATATCGTTTAAGAAACTGTTCATTTATATTATGCTTATTGTACATATTGTCAGACACTTCTTTATTTTGTATGCAGTTTTTTCTCTCCTTTTTATCTCTCTTTCTCGTTGTTAATATCATATGACTATTCTATTCACGGCCTAAAATTATTGTATATATATGTATAGACAAATGTAAAGACATACATGTATGACAACGCAAGTGTCCCTAGGGGGGACATAGCGCTTTAAATTGAAATAAAACACGATAAGACGCCAGCCATCTTTCTCTTGAGCTCGATGTACCATCTCGGAGACTGTTAAACCAGTGAGTTCCTTTAATTGGTCTACGAAGCGTGGCGAGCGTCCAGGTATGCGTCGCCCAGAAGTCTTTCCGATCAGTATGGTGTACTCCATTCTCCTGCGTCGCGCGACATTCTACGAATGAACGCTCAAATAGGTGTTACCCGATATGTGGAGTATCCATTAATCAAAAGACTACCACTCACTTTTCCAAAAGGCTTTCAAAATGGATATTTAAAAGCCAAATACCAGTTAACATTTCTGTTATCTTCCATTTGATTTGTTTATCATAGTCTTTCTAATCTATAAGAAATTGACGCTATTTATGATGCCTATGATTCTTTTTAAAATTAAAAATATATATATTTTACTGCTCAGATTACAGAGATAAATTAATGGTAGGGCCTGGCTCATCAGTGATTAACTCTCCCAGCGGTTTCCTCAGTATAATATACCATACCATAGTGTAATAACTTCGCCGTTGCCGGTCCCAAGCCCGGATGACAAAGGAGGAGGGGGAGCAGTAACAAGCTCACTAAAAAACCTGGGTTCAGCTGGCCAGGCTGATAGTACCCTGTAAGGGCTCCTGATCCAGAGATATAGGATGAGCAGCGTTTGTACTCCATGTTAGGAGCGGCTGCACATTGTGTTTGCTCCTCATGTCAGAGGTGGCCATTTCTTTTGGAGCTAAGTCGGCTTGCTACTGAGTAGTACTTTCATCTTCTCAATAGATCTCCATTGTAGATCAACGAATTTAATGATTATCTGGTATCATCATGTCAGACCTATTTCAATATGTTCGATATATCTATAGATAACTAAATATATATATGACACTGAGGTAGAACGAGTTTGTATATCAGTATAATAACTTGATAATTCAAATATCTTTTCAAATTTCAATGAATTATATTATTGCAGAAGGTATCACAGGGTTGCGTAAGAGAAGAAACATTGAGAAAAAAAGAGCTGTATGTAAATGGATAAGGGGCGGGAGGAGCAGCACAAGTAAGGGACTGCCCTGTAGTACGGTGTCGTGAGCCCTGAGTCACTACGGTAACAGTGAACAGGGAACTCTGAAATGTGGCTGACTAACGGGGCAATGGCATCCTCCCATTCCACGGAGTGGCCAAGACGCCACCACCAAATAAACAATCACCTGTAAATAACTACTCATCTTTTCTAAGCAATTATGTACCTGGGTGAATCCTGTGTAAGGCATAGGTCCCCAATGAAAGGCTTGTTGCTGTTGAATTGCAGAAGGCGAATTTATCAGAAATTTTGAAAATAAATTAATAAGAAAGACAATTCGCTGAGAGGAAGGAATTTATTTTTCTTATCACGACAATACAAGATTTTATAGCCTTTCTATTTATAATTTAATCGAAGCAATGATAATAATAACAAATATTAAATTTGTTCATCAAAAGAATTTGTCTTTTTATATATTTTCAATATACTTATTAGAAAAGTAAAAATATAAAATTCAGGTTAAAAAGTATCTTTTAATTTTAGTTTTCAATCTTTCAAGCAAATATTCTGCCCGTTGAAGAGTAGAACAATTGCTCGAAATATTGAAAAACCAAAATAAAAAGAAACCTTTTACCTGAATTTTTTATTTTGCATTTTCAAATAATTTCTCGGTAGCTAGCGCTCATATAAATATACTTCTACCAAAAAAAAATCACATGTTTACTTGATATTCTTTAGAACACCTGTGTCTCTATTTTTTATAGGGACGAGAGGCGTTCTCCATCATCGGCCGGCAGCCGGACCTGTAGTCCTGGATCTTTCCAGTTGGTCTCGAGGACCACGCCATCACCATCTCTTCAGCGGCAAAGTACGCGATCTACGTATTCTTCGTAGATCGCGAAATGCATGGTGTCGCTGGAAACCCACTGGCGATTCTCCACCAAACTCAGCAGCGGTGGCAGAGACGCCATATTCATTGTACATAGTGTATATAATACATATTATCTTTTTTTTTAAATAGTGCAGACTGTGCACTTTGCATGTATTGACAAGATAAAATTATTTTAATTGTCATATTGTCTATATTTTATATCTAATAAATATAAATTATATATTAATAGATAATAGGTAGAATTGTCACAAAAATAGGTAGGAAAATGGCTAAAGGAAAAGTTTCTTTCGCTCTATCACCAAATAATTGTCGTCAAATGATGTTCTTCTGGCAAGACCCTAATTAGGCCCCTAACGATTTGGTAAAGTTCGAAGGAATCCTTCTTTTGGTATATATATATAGCTCTAGTTCTTTATATGTGGTTCTATTATATTATATCTATAATACATAGATGAATACTGCAGTTATATATAATGATAGTTTATTATCATTTTTATAACCCGATGTGTTAATAGAATATTGTTGGCGCATTGAAAATATCGTTGAATTCTCTTTTTGTAAACGTTCGAAATTATTAATTTGTTTACTATAATATATTTCAATACTTAATTCTATTGACATTATGTGTAGGTATATAAAACAATTGTATTTTTTCTATTCAATTAATTCATTAACCTGTTCATACAGTTAATTCTCCAAATTTATTAATTTAATTTTATTTGACATATCGGACTCGATATCCCAGCTTGGATACTTGCGGTTAAATACATTTCAGCAACTTATATACAATTCTTTATTCACAATTATGTAAATAATTAAACTCTAATGTTCTGTATACCAATGTTTTACAAGAATGAATATTCTGAAACACGAAGCAAATAATACTTTCTAAGCTTTTTTTTCCCCAAAAAATTCCTAAATACTTTCGTCCAAATTTTTATAATACTCAATTTGTTACAAACCACGGAAATTTCAAAGTTTTTTTTTTTAAAGAATAAAGGCAGTGGAGGATTCAAGTTGCTTTTGTGGTATTGAGGAACAAACCTCAAGACATCTGATCGATTGCCCAGCATTTCAAGATTATAGAATGAAGAATGAACTAGTTGTTTGTGAACTTAACGATTTGATTTCCGATAAAAAATCATATTTAAAGTTCAATTCATTTTGTAAATACATTCTAAACTTCCTACAAAATCTGAATTTCTAATTTTTTCATGCGTTGAATAATGTAAATAACTTATGTAAATAAACTTTTCTCCTTGTTTGGCGCAAGTATCCTTTGCGGGATATAGCGCTTTGGAAATAAAATAATTGTAATTGTAATTGTAATTGTTATTGTATACCAATGTTTCGGATGTAATCACTGCCTCACTTACTAAGCTCGGAAAGCTTGCCGCATCCTGTATATGTCTGGCCTTATCGAAATGGTTGTGTTGACTGTATCTTCTTGCCAGACTTCTTCTGTATCCAACCGAAGCCTATATGCTTCCTTAAAAGTTCCCACAACACACTGATGACACTAATAATTCACCAACACCCGATTGTTACTGACACACGTTTATTAAACTTTCACATTTTTATATACAGAATTATATTTACAAATATTTAAATAAAAAGGCATATATTGGATTAAAATATCATTTATTTTACTGTTTTAATGTCCATCCATACAGAGAGCAAAAACAACAACTGACTCACCCGTGCAGCCAAGGTCACGCTCCGCTGCGTCACGTGGGAAAACATAGGTAGATGTTTTCTTACATGTTCTCAGCACATCCCCCTTTTTAAGACTTGAAATATATATATACATTACAAACTTTAAATGCATAATATAATTAATAATGAAGGCGATCCACAGGTTTAACAATTCGTCCACTCCGGGTTCTTATCTGGCCGTCTTCTGAGTCGTTAGAGGGATAATCCACAACTGGGGTCTTTTCATTTTCAACCAGTTCCTCCCCCGAAAAGGTCGGCGTCGATGGGTCGGCTGGATATTGCACTGCATATCCTTTTCGTAGATGGAACCTGTTTCGACGTAAAGTCCCAACTGGAGTATCAACCATATACGACCTTGGTGTCGATGCTTTCTTCTTTACAATCCCCCAGGTTCGCATATCTGTAATCCAAACCGTGTCACCTTCGGATAGCTCCTCCATGTCCGTAGCTCCGCAGCGTCGATCATATCTGGATTTCGTATCCTTTCTCCTTCTCCCCTCCTTTCTTTTCAGGGTCTGAGAGTCCACCAACCTTGGATTAAGATTCCCTGGTGCAATTGGCAAGGTCGTTCGGAGTTTACGTCCCAGATGGTTCACCATGCCAAGAAATCTTCTTACGCCATGAACATCGGTCGGAGCAGGCATCTCCGCCACTGCTTCGATTTTCGCTGGATCTGGTCGGATACCGTCTTCATCCAGTATGTGCCCACGAAAATTAATTCTTGGCACGCCGAAGACACACTTGGCCTTGTTTAGTGTAACTTTCGCCTCTTTCAGTTTTCGGAGCACTAAACGAAGAATTCGATCGTGAGTCTTGGAGTCGGAGGCAAATATCAGGATATCGTCCAGGTA